CCGTGGGCGCTAGTGCGTGGACAGCCACTCACCCCTGGACCGCGTGGCCGGGCAAGACCTCATCAGTGGCTTGCTGCCCCCCGTGCTGGTGGCAGTTGCCTCTTTGAGACATACTTGGAGGGCTGGAACTGTGCGTCTACACAGCCAGCCCGCACAGGGCCTGGGTTGATTCTGAGAGCCGAAAGAATGTTTTGCCTTCTTAAATGTTTTGTACTTCTTACTTTTACTTACTTTTGTACTTACTACTACAAAAGAATGATTTGTACTTCTTAAAGAAGTACAAGAGTGGGAGGGAACAAGTTTCCGTCAGAGTCCGCCCTGCTCCCTGCCGACGCGCTGGGTCGCCGGCAGCCAGCCCCTGACTCGCTCGCAGCCTGGTCTCCGCATCCCGAGCCCTGGATTGGGGATCGCCACGCTCTCCGCCCCCGTCCGGGCCCTGTCCCCAGCTGCCCTCCCTTTCTGAAGGCTCGGTCACCTGCCCACGCAGCACATGGTCCCGTGGTGTATGATCAGGGATGCTGCTGTTCCCCAATGTGCTCTTCTCACCTGCTCATCCTAGGCCCTGGGACCTTTGTCCATGGATCCTTGTCACCAACTCTGAGTGTGTGGGGAACATGTGACGTCTTTCTGCCGACTGGGAAGCCCACAGTAGGGACGCACAGGGGTCCTGGGCTGCGGGTCACCCGGGCAGAGATGCTGACCACTGCTGTGTGACAGTCCCCTCGTCGTGTCTCTAGCTCTGGCAGGCTCCATCCATGCGGCCGACCCCTCTCCCGGCTCACAGAGCTGCCTTTCCGGGAAGGTGCTGAGCCAGGGGGGTCCTGGGCATGTCCCAGGAAGCCCCAGACTGGACAGGAGCAGAACAGCTGCTGCATTCCTCACATCGGGGTGCATGAGGCAGAGCCCCAGCTGTGGCCCCCGGCGCTGTGATGTTGTCGGGGCTGGTGGAGGTGAACCCCGTCTGCTAAGAGGACTACATTCCAGCGCCGTGAACTTGAGTGAGTGAGTAGAACACAATCAGGGAACTCAAACCAGATAATGCTCCCACAGTTGAGTTTTGAGAGTCCCACAGTTTCCTGAAACACCTTTAGACACTGGCAGTCACACACACATTTTGAGAATCAGGACACATTGGGGCAGTGACACTCTGGGTCCCCGGTCACGGGGACTGACCCTCTTGGCATATCTGCATGTTCTGTGTTTTGTCATTTATAGGAAGCTCCTATTTCTTGACCATGAAAATTCCATTATGTTTGGCACACAGCACCTTGACTATGTTTGTTTTGCTTGTGGGCATTTTGTTTATTGAAAAGGTGTTATACATAAGGATGTACTTTATATTTGTGGAAGAACAGCGGCATCAGGTCTCAGAACAAACTTTTTATTTGGACAGAAATTAGTCAGTGGATGTCTCAGGGCAACATGTCCTTTCTGCACACTCTGCGGGCTCATCGCTCAGGAGGTGGGAGGAGGTCCCGTCTGTCCTCACGCATCCACCCGTCCCCCTGGGGCCCCTGCAAGGAAGAGACGGTGGATGCGGGGTTGCTACGGGGGAGCAGTCCACACCGGGTGCAGCCGGACAGTGCCAGCATCTCGTTGCCCCACTTTGGTAGTGCAGAGATGGCGAGGTTGTGTGACAGTGTCATTGACCTCCAGTCACTGACAGCGGGGTGATTCACTTTAAATATCAAGCGTTTGCTCTCATCTCTGAGACTTTTTGGAATTTTACCCCAGGAAGGAAGGTGTCACCATTTCTTACTGGGAGACACCACGGACCGTAAGGGGCATCCTGATTTTAGATGTTGATGCATGAAAAAATGCACCTGCAGTGATAAAAATGGCAGCTAAAATGTGTGGCATTGCTTCTCCAGTAATCCTTGTTTTGTACTAAGTGAAGAATAGGACATTGAGGTGATCCTCAAAGCGGGCCATGACACCCAGACGCGGGACATGAACCTTCAGCTGATGGGACAATTGGTCCAGAAGTGTTCTCTGTTCAAGTTTTGCTCTCCTCCTGAACTAAATAGGGAGATATGGAAAAATACATGGTCAGCCACGTTTGACTTCCCCTGCTGAAGCAGAAGTTACCCATTTTAAATACAACAGTTGAGCAGTTTTCTCTCCAGCACCTGCTGGGTGTCAGGCGTGGCGAGGTCTAGGGACAGAGGCTTATAAGGCAAGATCCCTGTGTCCCTCAGACACTTGGCAGTGTGACGGGGAGAGAGGAGTGAGTCCGTGGGGGTCTGCAGTGGGGAGGGGCTCAGACCCCCCCGGGGAGGAGGAGGGGGAGCTGAGGGGCCAGGCAGGGTGAGGTCCTCGCTCCCAGATACCTTCCCCCACACTCTGACCTGCCTGGCCCCTGAGGGCAGGAGGCTGGGAGGGCTGTTCCAGGCAAAGGGTCAGCTTGGTTCTGTTGTCCTCTGTCCCACGGAAGAGGCTGTGAACGTTTATTCCGGTTTCTGGAGACTTACTGTTTCTCTGAACCCCCAACACTGGAAGTTGCTTTTTCCTCAATGTTGTCAATACGCTAGAAAATGCCGTCTCATTCCTGTCCCGCTGTTACCTCTTCAGTCGCTGTGACCCGGAGTGCACTAGTCTGTGTTAGTAGTTACTGGTGAGACTGTTGGATCTCAGCTCGGGAACCACCAAGCTCGTTTACTGGCCAACCGGTGATAGCAGATCCGCCCCCTCCCATGTTACGGTGTTAATTATCACTGTGCCTCATGACACTGGCTCGAATTTACTTGTGGGACAAGATTACAAATGCTGGTTGGTGGGATGTTACCCGTTCAGGCTTCCAGAGGGACCTGGGGGTTGGGGAGCAGAAGGCCTGCTGCTGTGAATCTGGAGGGCTGGCCTCTGCCTCCCCAAGGCCACCGAGGTCCCCTGCCGCCTGGGCCTCGCCTTCTCTCCCACCTGCTGGCTGCCTGCATGTGCTTGTCCCGACCTGGGAATCTGTCTTGGTCTGAATCAGACTTTCCGCTGATGGAGTAATAATTCATGGCTTCCTCACGAGAAGACTCCTGTTCATCAAGGCGGCCTCTGTTGCAAGCAGCAAAGCCCACTCAAAGCCCCGAGACCTGGGAGGGACGGGCGAGTCCAGAGACGGGAAGTCCTTGCTTAGGGGACTGCCCGCTGGCTTCACGAAGAGCATCTCTCTCCCTGCACGCACCCCACCCCTCACGCAGGCGTTCTGGTCCCCCTGCGTGGGGGAACCCGGAGCGGGCAGTGTCCTCGAGATGGCGCCAGTCCAGCTCGGCCCCAGGAGCTCCCCTGCAGCGGGCACCAGCCCTTGGCGCCACCTTCCCCCCTCCAGCCTCCCAGAGATCTGACAGCGAAGGATGGGCGTCCCTCAAGGAGGGCCGCGGGGAAGCCGAGCAGGCCAAAGCCAGGGGAGGAGGCAGCTAGGTGCCAGAGCCAAGGCAGAAGGGAGGATTGTCACCTTTTCCCTAGAGTTTCCATTTTTACTTAACAAACGGTCATAGAGCAGTTCCTGTGTGCCTAGTATGTCCAGAGTGCTTACAAATACTAACTTTCCCAACCCTCGTTACAACCACAACACACAACCATACAAGGTCACTATTTCCTCTCCTTTGTAGAAAAGGGAACCGAAGCACACAGAGAGGTTCAGTGACTTGTCCAACGTCACACAGCTAATAAACAAAAGCCAAGCCAGAGTTTACTCCCAAGCAGTCTGGCTCCCCAGCTTACAGCCCTGGTGACGGTGCCTGTCCCGCTCTTCAGAAGGAGAATGTACAGCGGGAGGGATACCTGTCTCTTGGTTCTAGCTGGAGACTCCGGGAACAAGAGAAGCTTGGGAGAAGTGACTCAGAGAAGGGTGGAGGCCAGAGAGAGGCCAAGGGGAGCCAGCATCTGGGCATGTCCCTTTGTGCCTGTGGCCCGTGAGCTCCCGCAGTGCTGGTCATAACTGAGAAAATTGCAAACCAGGTCAACGGTCATGGGCAGGAGGAGCCTGGTGACAGTGCTCCTGGGAGTAACCAAAGTGCAGGGCACGCTGTGGCCACGAGGGCAGGTCAGATGGTGCTGTGTGGGCCGCGTGAAGTCACCGCAAGCGTTCCCTGTTACCAGACCAAAGCAAGACTCGAGCAGTGTGCGCAGGGAGGCCCGACGGGGGTGCTGGGTGGCGGAGATGCAGACCTGCCAGGGGGGCGTGGAGATGCAGGGGGAACACGGAGATGCAGTGGGCACAGAGATGCGGGGGGGCGCAGAGATGTGGAGGGGTGCAGACATGCGGCGGTTGGCGGGGACATGCGGAGGGAAGGGGCAGTCCTTTCTGCTGTGCCCTGGGCAGAGCCTTTCGCAGTCACGTTCCCTGTCACACTAATGAGATACAATTGAGTAAACAAATAAGAAGAAACTAAAATCTCATCTACCTTATAACCTTAAAATATAAACTTAAAACGAACGTGCACCTGGTGCATCCGGTAGGGCTCCATGACAGAGGAGAAGGGAGGCCAGAGGGCAGCCCAGCCCCGTGGTGGCACCTGATCCCTCCTCTGTGGCCTCCTGGCACCCCGGGGACATCGGCATGGATTTCTGCCCCCAAAAGGGCCCCTTCTGGCACCAGGGCTGCCCTGCCTGGCTTCCAGGCAACCGAGATTGGAATTTAAGGAAGGCCGGTTCAGAGTCCGCGCCTTCCCATGCATCCACCCCCTGCACCGTGAACGGGGACTAGGCGGTTCGGCTCCCAGAACACACGCAAGATGACGGGCTGATGCACTTTATCCCGGGTGCTACTCCGTTTCTTTTGTACGAAAATAATCCACGGCCCAGAGAGTGCTTGCAGCCCAGGCAGAGAAAAGAGGCGGGAACTCAAGCCTCTGCAGAAAGCCCACCTGAACCCGGAGACCCTCACAGCCGGGCAATGAGCAGGGGGTGGTGATTAACTGCGAATTTTATAAGAGGAAAAGGGTATCACAACCATCTCCTGGACAAAGGTCCGGATCTCAAGAGAGGGTCTTTTTCTGTTTTGTTTCCAGGACGGAGAGAGCAGCGCAGGAGAGCCTGACAAGAAGAAGGACATGCGCCCGCTCTCCCGCGAGGCCTCGGAAGATAACGAGGTGTTCGGTATGTGACCAGGAAACCGGAGGCCGGGGCTTCGTGTGCACAGATGTATGCGTTTGGGGAAAGTTTTAAGTTTTTAGTCACATGAGTAATCTGTGAATCTGTTCTCAGTATTGAAAATGCAGAGGCCATAAGAATATGGGTAAGTTCCCTTGGTCAGCCTCCCGCCATCTGTCCTCCCCGACATGACCATGCAGGTGGCCACTGACCGCTGTCGCCGTCTAGTTCTTATTCCTGTGCTTTGTGCCGTCTTGTACGTAGACTCCAGAGACTTTCCAGGTGTAGACGAGCTGTACAGTATTTCTCTACTTATTTGACCACTGTGGGTAGAAAACCTAACGGGGCTTATAAAACAGAAATAACAGGAAGTGAGACTGTCCCAGAGCCCAGATACTTCAACCACAAAGAATGACTCAGGAGGTGTTGAAAATAACCGTTTTCTATAAAAGTTTACTTTTTTGTGGAGCCCGCTGGCAGGCACGACTCATCAGCATTTCTGCTCCACTCCCCTCCGAGAAAGAACAAATGCCTTCTCGTTTGATTTTAACATTAAGAAAATTACCTTTCCCTTGGGACTGCGGTACGCCATGACTTGCCACGATCACGCGGCTGAGCGAGACGCAACACAGATCTGTCACGTGCCTTGCTCTGTTCTCATCCAAGAACCCCCCAAGCTGTAGGAGCAAAGGGGCAGCTTGGAGCGGGCCCAGACCCAGGGGGCTCGCTGGCCTATCAGAGGGAAAGGGAGCAGTTTTCTGGCTACCAAAGGGAGTGTCCCTTGGGCAGTGTGTCGTGCCTGCAGATTATGACGCCCACGGCAGACAGGCCTCCTCCCCATGCTCCCTAGCCTGGTCGCTGCTTACTTGAGTAAAGGGTTTCTCGGTACTTTCAGTTCCCTGGCAGGAAAAGCCGTCCCACTTTCCTATCTCTGATTTGTTTGCTGTTTTTCAAAAATCCCTTCTCTTCTATGATTCCGTCCCGAGTAAATGGCAGTACTGACAGAAGTACCACTGCCCACTCCCTTGACATCTTAAACTGTCGTGAAACTCAGCATAACCCAGAGGAGCAGAGGCTGAAAACAATGCAGACCAGTTTATGGAAACCAGTGGGGTCCGTGCGAGAGGAATCGCCATTGCGCTGGTCACACCTGCTGCACGTTGCTTTTCCTGAGAACTGGATCGGCAGTGGGGGGGGAGTGGGGGTGATGCCCGAGTGTTGTCCGCTGCCTTCCCGGAGTGGGGCCCCCATCCCTCAAGGCCAGAGGACCAGAGGGGAGAAGCAGCCAGTACATGAGGCCAGACGCCACCGCAGGTGCTCTGAATGCAGAGGGAAGGTCTGCAGAATTGGATGGAGCATCTGAGTGTCGATGATTTCCATCATAAGTCCATCTGCAAAGCTCTTTCTCTAGACGACCTCTCTGCTCCCATATTCCAATTCCATATGTATATTAAACACATAAAAGCAAACGACAGAATAAAAATGTCCAATTCTAGGTTTCCTGTATGACAAGAGTACCTTCTAGAAGGATGCTGGCTAAGCTTACTTATTTTAAAGCAAACATCATCTTCCTCATTATTCCCCTGGTTACGTGCATTCAGGATCGTTCACAACAGTGTCTGTACCCCTGTTCCTTTTCGACACACTCTGCACACGTGTGCATACGCACTTGTGACATAGTGTCAGGCAAGAAGGGTCTTCTGTGATACGTGTTTCCCTAAGTCGGCACAAGCAGGGTTTGATTTTCCAAAGGCAGCCCTCTCCGGCCCTCTCAGTGGATACTCAGTCTGGAGACGGAGCTGTGTGTACGGGTGACTGTGCTCCCGTTTCCATCTTGGCACGAACCTGCGTTTGTCACATGAGTAATCTGTGAATCTGTTCTCAGTATTGAAAATGCAGAGGCCATACGAATGGGGGTATAGTGGCACAAGCAGACGCCACCTGGGTAGTTTCCTGTGACTTCCCCATCGAGAACACTGGGCACGCTTATGTGGGGGTCGTGGTGCGCAGCCCTCACGCAGTCAGGAAACAATCCCTAATGATCACCTTCACGACACGGACAGCTGACCCTGAATCCAGGCTGAGTCACAGAAGAAGGGAGGTATGAGGTGTGGCCACCTGACGGCACGTGACCCTGAGCGAGGGTGGCCGGCTCCCATGGAAGCCTGACTAATACAGACCAGGAGTTCCTGCGGGACTGCGGGCATCTGTTCTTGAACTTGCGATAATCCCCCACTCCTGATGCTTTCCTGGAATCCAGAGAAACCCCAGTGCAAAGGGGCAGAGTGACGAAGGAAGAAGAATCTCATTGGATCTTGGCTGTCGATCGTGGCTGCCTAATCTTGGAAGATGTATCTGAGCTTTTTTTTTTAATTATGAAGCGTTGTGCGAATGTCAGTCCAGATGAAGTCAGCAGCCGCCTCCCACTTTCCCTGACTAGACAAAAGTTCCCCAAGTACCGTAAAAAAAACCCCATGCCTCGCGATGTTCTATGAACCCTGTCATTAGCAACCAGGGGGCGATAATCTTGGAAGCTCCTGGCACTCACGTTGTCCACGTGTCGGACGCATGGACCTTATCCTTTATCTGACACATCTCTACAGGATCCAGGTCCTCAAGGTCTCTGCGAATGTCAGGAAAGACTGTTGTCCCACAGGTGGTCAGAATCCTGGCTTAGGGACGGAATCAGAGGGGCTGGGAGGTCACGGCCAGGGGCAGACTACTGGCAGGTACCTGGAGCTGCTGGCTGACAGTCACAGAGCGCACGGCTAAAACCAGCCACGGTTCCCCAGCCTCCGTGAAGGCCAGAGCCAGCTGCGAACTTAGCAATGCCCTGAGGACTTTTACCGTTTCATTTCATGGGAAGATCCCAATGAAGATTGTTCTTCATCTAAATGACTCACTCATTCGAGCACACTTCTACGTCTCCTCCTGTCATGTTTTTTCCTGACAGTGTGTGGTTATACTTAGGACTGTTTGCCTTGTTACCCAAAGAGGAAGAAAACACGGTAGCCTAGAGAGCTATGTGTTGTCTGAGCTTTTGAGAACCAGGTCATTTTGTGGTTGGCCAGTTACCGAGCTTTTTTTTTTGTTTTCCACCACGCACCCACACGTGTGTCGTACACGATCCTCGTCATTTGAAAAGCAGTCAGCAAGGAAGGCAGAACGGTCACCATCCCTCCGTCCAGAGTCCGCTAGCCACAAAACAAGGGCAGGTGAGGCAGTTGAGGTCAGCAGAAGCCTGTCCCTAAATTATAGTGACAAAGGAGCAAAATCCCCAAAAGAGGGCACCCCTGCTCTTTCCCGATGAGTATGGCTCCTTCTAGACACGACCCACATCTCCAGAGTCAGAGCAGAAGGGATGAGTACTCAGCACATCTGGTGAGCTTGATCCCAGCTGCAGGACCCCGGGGTCATGGGAACATCGCCTCCCTGCCCCCATGCGTAACGGCACCCATGGCTAAGTGAGGGGCACAGGGCCTGTAGGGACAGAACCCTGTGGAGCTTCACAGGGAAAACCTTCACCAGCTCAGCGCTCAAATAACGGAGATAGAATTATCTATGTCTAGTGTTCAGCAAGAAATATTCGTCCTGGCAACACTGACACTTATACAAGTACAATCTCTTAAGTATAAACGTGTGTATATGCGTGCCTTCATCTTACACAGCTCTAGTTAGCTCACACGAACACACAGGTTGAGTCAGGAAAGACCACACACGTGAACCATACGGCGGTTGCTAATAGTTGAACTTCACGTTGGACCTGGAGAGTCCCAGCCGCTCCGGTGGAAAATGAGACCCAGTCCGTGTGTTTAATGTCTCCTTGTACGTGGGAGGCAGTGCAGCTGCGTGTTAGCCGTGTTACTTCTGCCCGTGCCCTCATCTCTCGTGTCTTGGTCTCCTCCCAGGTAAGCAGGGGAGATGAGAGAACCTCCCAGAGTGAACGAGCAGGTTTGCAAATGTGCACCTGTACAACACCCCTGTCCCTGTCCCCCACGGGGACCGGCAGAAGGGGTCTGCATGCGGTCGTCCGAGGATGCCCAGCTGTGTTTAGCCAGTTGTAAGATCTTTTCCCCCGTTTCGGGTTTTATCACAGACGACCGTGTGGTGTCAGCCACCGCAGGGCACTTTCCTGGCAGCTCTGGTGACCAGTTTCACAGGAAAATTATAATAAACTGGGCAGTGGGCGTCTTCCCACCTTGGCGCTGGGTGAGGCACATGTCCCACTTGTGGCCTCACCTTGTCGCTGTCCTGCGTGGCCCGTGCACACCCCTCGAACCCTGCCAGGGACCGGGGTGTGGACGCCTCTCTGGATGGGGAGGACCTGTAAGGACATATGCAGAGGGAGGAACTGCTCTGCCACGTCTGGAAAGTACTCTCTGCCACAGACAGACACCCCGGGAATTTTCGTACAGCATTGAGAAAAAAAACTTCGCTTTTTTTTGTTTCCAGGACCTTTCTGTGAGGAAATCTTTTTGAGATTCTATTTCCGATATTATTTCTATTTGATCAATCCTGATTACTAGACTAAGCTACGAAGTTAGTAAGAAACAGTCATGATGATACAAAATTCTATCTCCCCTCAGTAATAATTGAAGGCCAGCGACCCACCCGGTGCTTTCCTGTGGACCTCTCGTTAACTGTCCCTCTGTCAAGGTCATCAGCGCCCTCCAAGAATGGCTTTCGGCGGCCTGCTCTTGTGACTCATGGATGCTGACTTTAATTTTTTGCTAATGATGGCTTGATTGTTGCCCGAGTGGTTGTTCACATCTAGGCCAGCAACAGAATCAATATGGAGTGTGCTTTGGGGCAGATAGAAATCACAGAGTCACAGCCGCTGGTCTGACCCCTCCCCACCATGTAGAGATGAGCGTCTGCTGGCCAGGACAGAGGCCAGAAGGCCACAGAGACCAGACTGTAGCTCCTGCTCCGGGCCCTGCCCTGAGCGCCCCCAGGACACAACCGTGGGGGGCCCTTGGAGGACAGAAGCAGCTTTCATGTCTCTG